ATAAATAAATAAACACTTGCACAAATCAATTATGAATTCCCACCATTCTTTTTTTTTGATGTTGTACTATCAAAACAGTTTGTTTGTTTGTTTGTTCTGTTGGAACTGGTTGTTATTCTTTTCAATCAGGCATTTAAAACAAATTACAGGATAAAGAAATCAAATATGTTTTTTTTTAACATTCCAAAAAACAAAGAAAGAAGAGGAGAGAGAAATATTCAACGCTTCCAGTAAATCTATTTAAATGCCAATAAATCTATCAGCTGGCGGTTTTTGTTTGATTTTTTTTGTTCGTAGAGCTTCTCCCGACTGGTACGTTCAGGTGCTAGCTCAAAAAGATGCGAAAGTGTGAAATGATGAGAAGAATTGCTTGGGCTGCTAATGGTTTACAAAGCGAAATTCTCCAACCGACATCCATGGGGGAGAAGGTGTGATGGGGGACGGAGGTTGCTGCTCTGATGGTGCATAAAATATGAATTTGTTTATTTTTCCTTTTTCCACGTCGAAAAGAAAAAAATGTCTAAATAAATATATGTTAATTATATTGAATTATAGATGCTGTTGTTATTGTTGTTGTTGGATGGGTTGGGCGGTGTTGAATGACCAGTTGCAAATCGAATGGAATTCAATTTTTATTGTTTCGTTTGCCATTCTTAATTGTTATTGTTTTTGCCCGAATCAGTTTGCCGCATGTGTATCGGATAACAATTAAAATGTGCATCAAATTATCCACAAATTTGATTTAAGAGTTGGCCGGGGCCTGCAATCAACGGGGCTGTGTGGTTTCGTGTGGTTGTTTATTCTAATGGCATTACTAAATGTCAATTCGTGGGAAATGCTTTGGAATAAATTTTTGAGAAATTAGTTGTGTTCATGAAATGTTTAAAGATTTCAGAGGAAAATGAACTTTAGTCTTTAAAACTTAAGGAATATTTAAGAAAGCAATTTTTGAGAGGGAAAACCGCATTAATACTCTCAGAATTCATTATTTTTCAGCTTACTGGTAATGGGGAGGTCATTATTTTTGGTTTACGGATAAGACAAAGGGTATGTATTTGCCAAAGGATATGTATGTAAAAGCCAAGTATCATCTTTGAAAATTACTCCTTAAAAATTCATGATTGATGCCATACCAAAACGGAAACCTCTATAGACAATTTTATACTTCAAGTATTGTCGTCTACCAAATCTTCATAAATACCAAATATGAATCAATTTCGTGGGTAAATATGACTATTATTATCAAAATTCCCAATATCGGTGGGTGGGGGACATAAATATTCAATGTTCTGCCACTTGAGCTAGAACCCATTATGACCTACATATACGAATTTTTAGACAAATCCATGAAAAATGTGGCGAAAATCTTCAAAATACCGAATATCAGGAGGTTCCACTATATGGGGGCTATACCAAAACGTGGACCTATACATACAATGTTTCGCCACAAATAGGCAAAGCCGTGAAAAAAATGTGGCGAAAATCATGAAAATACCGAATATAAGGAGGTAACATTATATGGCGGCTATACCAAAGCATCAACCGATATATCTGATTTTCAATACTAACCATCCTAGACAAAATACGCATTGTTGTGCTCTACGTCAAATAATATGGGTTATATCGTGATTTCAACAAAATGACAGACGGACAGACCGATAGACGGACATCGTTCAATCGACTTAGAATTTTATGTTGATTATGAATATTTATACTTTATAGGGTCTACGACGAATATTTAGGGATGTTACAAACGGAATGGCAAAGTTAATATACCCTCCTTATCAAGGTGGAGGTTATAAAAAAATATGTAAATATAAAAAAATCCTCAAAATTGACATTGACATTTGAAAGGATTTTAGTCCTTGACAAAATTGTCTACTGAAATCTGGGATTGGAAGCCTTTTGTACCCTTTAAAAGATCTCAAGAATAATTCATATTTGTCCCTTAAAAAATAATTTTAGAGATTTAAATAATAAGCTCTATTTTTTATAAATGCACGTCTAGTTCTTAAAATAATATTCTTGACAATTCACTTTTAGTCCTTGGAAAAGTATTTTTACCATCCAAGTATGGTCATTTAAAATGTATTCTTAAAAATCCACGGCTGAACCTTAAGAAAACTTCCTTGAGTATCTACATTTTGTCCTTGTGGAAAGATGTCTTGTTTAGTCCTTGGACATTTTTTTAAAAATTCCACTTTTTGTTGTAGGAAAAAAATATTCCAAAATTTTTGGTTTGAATGGTTTTCGTGCTTTATAAAACATTTTGAAGAAATCTAAATTTGAAGGTCTGCAGATCCTTCGAAAAAATATTTTTAAAAACTCATGTTAGGGACCTACTGATCCTTAGAAATATTCCCAAAAATACACATTTGTTCCTTGAACAAAACTCTATTCTTTTTCTTGAAAATTGTACATATAGTTCACATTTGGTCCTTGAAGAAACATATATTTATATCCATGTTTGGCCCTCAAAAAAACTTCAAAACAATCCACGTTTGGTCCTTGGAAAAGTATTTTATAAAATCTTAATTTGGTCCTTTTTGTCCTTGATAGAACATTTTAGAGAGTTATAGGTATGAAGGCCTGTCGATCCTTTAAAACATATTATTAAATATTCACGTTTAGGGGCTTGTAGGTCCTTGAAAAATATTTACAAAATAAATCAGGCTTAGAGGGTTGCAGGTACCACATGGAGGACCATTGTTCCTATAACTATATTTCTATAAAATACATATCTGGATTCTAAGAATAATTTGAACATCTATATTTTGTCCTTGAAAACTTTTTCCAAAATTTCGTGTTTTGTCCATGAAAAAAATGTCTTAAAATACCACTTTTGGTTCCAAGAATAATATTTCTAATTTGAAGGGATTAAAAACCTATTGGTCCTTAAAACTATTTTTTAAAAAAATCTTTTAGTCCTGGTAAAAATTCCTCTCTTTGTTCTTGAAAAGTTTACTTAAAATTCAGATTTGGTCCTAAAATGCAGTGTGGTCCTCGAAAAACATCCAAGAGAAAATATTTTATAGAATCCTCATTTGGTCCTTTTCGTCCTTGATAAAATATTGTAAAAAATTTTAGTTGTGGAGGCCTGTCGATCATTTTTAAATTATTGTTGAAAATTCACGTTTGTAGTTCTCTTGTTCCTTGAAAAATATTTTAAAATTTTTAGGCATAGAGTATTGTAGGTCCCCGATTGTAGGACCGTTATTTCTATAACAAAATACCTAAAAAATACATATCTAAATTCTATGAATAATTTAAATATCCATATTTTGTCCTTGAAAAAAAAATTCCAAAAAATTGTAGTTTGAAAGGTTTTGGCCCTGACAAATATTTTGAAAAAATCTACATTTGGAGGTCGGTAGATCCTTACAGAAAATCTTCCTAAAAAATCTTCGTTTGGGAAGAATTCTCAAAAATACTCTTTTGAGAAATGTTTGAAATGTTTACTTAATATTCACAGTTGGTCCTTGAAGATATATATTTTGAAATCCATGTTTGGTCCTTGAAAAAAACATCCAAGGAAAAGTATTTTAAAAAATCCTTATTTGGTCCTATTCGTCCTTGAGGCCTATCGATCCTTTAAATATTATTGTTAAATATTCAGGCTTAGAGGTCTGTTGGTCCCTAAAAAATATTTTAAAAAATGAACGCTTAGATGGTTGTAGATCCCCGATTGGCTGGCCGTTGTTCCTGTAACAATATTTCTAAAAAATATATATCTGGATTCTGAAATGAACATACAGGATACAGAAGTGAACCTCTGTAGTTCTGCTTAGCCATAAAAATTATATTCCTTAAGATTGAGATATTATAATCCTTAAGATCCATATTTGGATGTGGTTTAAAAATATATATATATATACATATTCTTCCCAATTCCACTTTTTGAAGGGTAGAATAATCCAAGTGTCAGATCTGAATGTTTGAAACCTTGCAAAAAACATTGTTGAGAAAATCTAGGGGTGGTAGTAAAATGTCAAAAAACTCCGCTATTAAAAATCCAAACCAGGGTGGTTCGTTAATTCTGGAAAAAACACTCATGGAAAAACCAAGGGAGGTAGCCCTTTGAAAAATATTCCTAAATATGCCAAGTGTAGGGACTGCAGATCCTTGAAAACGTATCCTTAGAAAACGCTTGCTGGGCTTTTGATTCCTGTTCAAAATTCAAATATTCCAAAAAAAATATTTTTTTAAAAACTCACATTTCATTAGAGGTTGCTTCTATTCCATAATAATTGGTGGCCTTAGATTATATCGAAATATTTGCTTTTGGTGGAGAGAGAGGTTGGTCTATAGTTGGTTGGTCTGTCTGTATCTCAAAATCGCAATGTGTCGCAAATGCCTTCTTGGTACCGTAAACTATTCAGGGTATAAATATTTAATTAATTATTTAACAACCACTTAAGAAAAATATAGACCTGGTGACATATTTAATTAAATTCGGTTTCAATTACTTACTAAATATCAATAACCAAAATAAAATCAACAATAGCAACAACAAAGAAAAAAATCGAACAACCAATTAACAATTCAACTACAACACAACTTTCCACATTTTTCCGGTCATGTTAAAGAACAGACAAATAAAAGAAACAGAAGAGAAGAAGAAACAAAAACACCGAACGAACAGACAGACAGACAGACGAACAGTGAAAGTGATTTATGACAATTTAAAACAATTTCATGGTAGACACACGCACACAAACCTAGCCAATGGCATGTGGACATGGTCTAAAGGACCACACACACTCACTTACAGTGAGTATCCCACCTACATGTTTCAAAATATAAGCAATGCAACATGTTGGATGTTCGAAGATGCCTCACAACCTCTGCACAAGCAAAACAGCTGATTTAACAGGCCTAGCACAACACCAGATGGGCTAAGGGGGCGATTTTCATGCAGAGGCCCAAAGGCGGCGGTTTGATAAGATGTTCAATATGCGAATTGATACAACACACAAAAATAGTCCCTAACTAACATTCAAACGGTACACAAGTGCGAGCGGATAAATGCAAAGCCAGCGAGCGCCAATGGAAAATCGAAACGATAAACGATGAAATAAAAACAAACAAATAGTCAAATAAAAAAACATGCTTTTTAATTAAAATTCACAAAAAAAAAGATTTCTAAAAAAAGAAACAAAATAAGTGGCAACAAAGTAATTAAAGTGAAATAAGTCAAGGAAATATTCCCAAGCAAAACAAATTAAATTCAATTCAATCTCCCCCAAACTTAATATCGGTCTTGTAACTCAATTCCCGTTGAGGCCTCGAGTGTTACTTTTTTAATTGATTTCCATGTAATTGTATCCCTAATTGCCTCTTACGGCCATGGTCAAGTGTAGAACGCAACGGAACGTGCAGCCAAAGAAAATGTATCAATTTTCGAAATTGTGATCGGGCAAAATGTATCCTGAGAAGTTTACAATACCTTTTTGAGGAACAACCAGAAACCAACCAACAAAAGGGAACCCCGCTAAAAATAGAAACAACCTTTTATGTGGCGGCAAGACGTTTTAACACCCGAAAATACTTAAAAGGGAAATACAACATTCTTTTGTTGCCATTCAACAAGAACAACAAATACAACAACAAGAATCTGGCATCTATCCTTTAGCACTAACCTGCTGTGAGAGATGGTGAAAAGAAAAACTAAATTCCATTAAACTCTGTTCTAGCAAATGTGCCCCGCGCCCCTACGTAGGTTCTCAACAACAAATAGAAAACGCACCCGCACACACACACACATCTCAACAATAGATTCCCAGCAGAGCCAAGACAGTTCAACGATAAGAAAAAGAAAACGCTGTCAATAGCATCCATTTGCCAAAATAAAAGCTGAGAAAAAGAAACACAACAACAACTACAACATTCAACAACAAAAGGTGATTAAATTGTTTTATTATTCCTGTTTTCTTCATATTTTCGTTCCTCTTTTTGTGTTTGTTTGCAAATGCTGACAAGATATGGAATTAATATTTGGGAGGGAGGGATGGAGGTAGAGAGATACAATTTGCAAGGGCTGTCAGGGGATATGTTTTTGCAAATTATATTGGCATCTGTGCGGTAGTCTCTTTTTTTAATATTTATGATGAAAAAAGGTCTGGAGTTTTATTGTTGTTGTTGTTGTTAATCTTTAAGGTAGCTCAAATATAAATGTCATGTTTTAGGCATGCCGTGGATATGATTGTTGCCCGGGGGATTCATGAGATTTTTAAGGTGGGGTGAATTAATCTTTTTTTTGCTGCAAATTGGAAAATTTTATATATCTTCTAGGGCTTTATAAATATGTATTTTTTATGGTTTGTAATTAGATGTTGGATTTTTAATTCCAACATGCTATTTATTATTGTAATACCTAGAGACCAAAATTATGACTTGATTTCTAAGGCGATATGTTGGCATTGACTTTATATATGTTGAAAGCATCGTGAAAGTTACCGCCTTGCAAAGATCTTTATTTAGGCATCTTGAAAAGATTTTTTAGGACAGGATGGCGCAAAAGTAATCCTCCTATCAGAAAATGCTATTCATTTTACGAGTCTTAATTACAGACAAAAAAAATCTGAAGTTCACTTTTTCGCCACCATGTACATGCATATATGTACTTGACGGACCTTCCAATGTTTTTTGGCTGTAATTTAGACATTAGGGGCCAATCGTAAAATGGATACCATTTTCTGATAGGAGAATTATTTTGCGCCACCTTAATTGTTAATAGTAGAAGGGAGAATATTTTGAGTTCTTCATACAAATTTTGATTCCTACAATATTGAAAAATTATATATATACTAGCTGGCCCGGTCCGCGTTGCCGGCCCGTAGTTTTAGTCTGTAATGCAAATTTTATATAGCATAATCTTTCACAAATCTAGTTCATAAAGGTGAACTAATTTTAATATAAATATTGATCCGACTAAATTTAAATAAATACCTATGGAAGGAGGGCAAAATAATTTCTGAATAGTCAAAGTTAATTAAGCTTTTACACCCATTATCATAGTACCTTAAATTGCGCATTAGCGTCCCCAAAAAGTCTATGTTCTTGTTCATAGTAAAATTCAATGACGATTAAATAAGGCCCGTGTTGTCGTCCGCCAATCGGTAAAAATCACTATAAATCGGGGGCCCTGGGGACTATATGGAGACTGTACTAAAATATTTGCGTATGTTGACATTTTTCTGTAAGATGGTTCTCTACTCACAAAGTATCCTAAATACACCAAAATCGATTGGAAAATGTGGTCAAGACCCTCGAAATAGAAAAGCCAAGATGCCAAATAATGGCCAAATCAGTCGAAAAACGTGGCCAAGACCACAGTGATAGCTGGAATCAGGGATACATTCATATGAGGGCCCAATCAATATTCTCTTGGGGGTTACAAATTCAATAGAATACAAAATTTTCTTTTCTGCCCAGACATTAGATGTGAAAGTGGACTTGGGGATACTCCAATGTGGGGGCTTTACTTAAATAAATTCCTATGTGGCAATTATCTGTATGATGGTTCCCTACACCAGGGTAGCATAAATAAAATTTTTTAGCCAAATCAATTGATGAAGGTGGTCAAGACCAATATGAGCCCTACTCTAAAAATGTTAAATTTTATGTGAAGAGGTTCTCTATCCCCTTAGAAACAAAAATGCCAAATAAGGGCCAAAAAATGAAAAAAGTGGCCAGGACCTAAAAATAGCTTAAATCATAGATGGTTACATGAATATGAAATCGGGTTGTACCCTTATCCGTGAGTTATGATCGATATCAAGACCTGCAAAAGCGATTTAAGGTATCTTGAATGTTTGGGAAGAATTTCTGGAAGGATATAAATACTTTTCTTACTAAAAGTCCCATTCGCTCTACTATTTTGCACCCTTTAAATTTGGTATTTTACTGATTGTACTCCCAAAGAATTTTGCATTTTGAGCTCTCATTGGACGGTTTATTGTCACATGAAAGAAGTAGGTCCATGCTTTGAAATGAGCCCCATTAGACTTTTTCGGTCATTTTTGGTTGTTTAAATGTGTTCGCATCTTCCAGCTGAACCACTATGTAGGCCCTGGAGATGAAGGGTAGATGTCAGTTAACATCTTATTTCGCACTTATTTCATTTTTTTAGTGAAAAATTGTATATAGTGAAAAACTATTCTTTATTTTGTTCACAAAAAATCCACTGAATTCAATATGATAATACAAATTGAAAGAAATTGGCAAAAGAAGAATAACAAATTGAAATAATCTTCAACTTGTTCGCTGATTTTTTATAGCAAATGTTTAAAGATCCTTACAAAGTTTGTCAATAGAATGTACTATTATTTTAAAATTCGATTCCATTGAAATTTTTTTCGATTTTTTTCCCGATTTGAGAAGTTTTGCAATAAGATCTCTTTTTCGTGATTTTTTAGCGATTTTGATGATTTTTTAGCGCCATCAATTTCAGTTCTCAAGAAATCAAGTCAATTAAATAAATTGGTATTAATATTCGAATTCAAAAATAAAATATACAAAACACTACAAATGTACATTGGAAAAAAGTAAGTCAAAATGGAAAAAAAAATCATGCAAAATAAAACATTACTATTGTACATTTCAAAAGTCAAAATGAAAATGTTAATATATCACATTTTTACTCGATTTTTTTGGATATTATCCTTTTCGGAGAGGAGAGAATTCAGAATTTGTATGAGTCTTTAAAATCAGTCCAGCGGTTCTTAAGTTATAAGCGTAGTAACTAACACAACTTTCTTTTATATATATAAGATTTTTGGTCTTTAATGTGGAATGTACAATGCCAGAATTTCTCCTTATAAAATGTTTTCCAAATTATTTGGAAAATTTCATGGTAGCATCGATGAGGTACTTTGATGCAATTTTATGAAAACGTTGCTTATTTTATGTCCTTCAATTATCAAAGTTCAATTCTGTTGTTCTTTTTTTGGTACTTGTGCAATTTGGAATCCCTATAGCGGGTATTGTGGCTAAATTTCAGGTGAATACCTCGGGTATTCGATTCTTAAAAATTAAGTTAAAATAAATCTTTATTCCAAGTCTCATTCATTCTTGTGATGTTGGCATTTTTAGATATTAGAGCCAAAAAAAAAAAAAATAAAAAATAAATAACTCTTATAAACCTATTGGTCTTTGCAAATATTTCCAAAAATATACTTTTGGTCCAGGTTTTGTTTTTGAAAATTTTATTAAAAATGCACATTTCGTCCTCAGAATCTATAGAATCCTAGGTATGGAGGCCTATCGTTATTTTAAACAAATATTGTTAAATATTCAGGTTTAGAGGTCTGTTGATCCTTGAAAAAGATTTCAAAAAAATTAGGCTTAGAAGATTTTAGGTTCCCTATTGGAGGGCAGTTGTTCCTATAACAATATTCTTAACAAATACATACAGGGTAAGATAAAAAAAAACTGTAACAAAGTCAAACGCCATAATTTTTAATTTTTTTTTTTTAATTTTATTGAATGAAAGCAAAAAATGTCGGAAATAGCAAATTTTAGAATAAGATTACATTTGTTCGAATTGGCCACCTTTGGCCTTCAAACGGCCAATGAAACCGTCACACGCTGCCCGAATGTTGCTCTGTGGTATTTTGGCCCATTCCGGCGAAGTACTTGCTTGGGGTGATCGACACTTTGGTATTTTTAAGTGCCAACTTTGCTTTCCAAAATACTCTAGACACAATAGTCCAATGGATTGGTATTCTGAGATTTTGGTGGCCATTGTTCGCTGGAACTGAAGCGAGGAACCTCATTTTGTAACCATTCTTGGATGGCGCATGCTGAGTGCGATGCTGGTGCTGAGTCCTGTTGGAATGTTCAAGGTTTGGGGTCAAATGTCCAAGGTCTGGGGTCTTCTGTAAATAGACTTTCTGGTCTTCTATAGGAAGACCTTGTGGTCTTCTATGGGAAGACCTTGTGGTCTTTAAAATACCTTCCAGAATAATTTCGCCATAATATTCGGCATTATTGTATATAGAAACCCTTGCTACAAAATTTAGTTAATATATCATAATAGCCTATTCACCCCAAGACCAGTTCAATAACTAAAATCACGAGTACATTTATACAAGGGCTGCACCAAAACGTAGGATAGTTTTTGTAACGTTTCTATATTATAAGAACTCCAAATAATTGTTGACATGGCCTTGATGCCTCTTCCGTTACTATTTTGTTCCGAAAATTGTCATAACACCCTAAATATTAATTTTGCTTAATTCTCCTTAACGCCTTTTCATATAAAATATTTTCCACATTAAAATTTATTGGCTGTCAACTCTCATCAAAAATTCATATTTAATATTGCAGCACGCGTATTATTTAAAAAATTCCATAGCCTATTTTGAATAATGTTGCTCTTTATGGTTTCTATGGAAAGTTAATGTGCGTTTTTCCGATAACCGACGCAATAATGGTAAATGAACCAGACGCAACATTATAAAATTACCAAGAAGAGGCTTTATTTAACGAAATATGTGTATTAAATGTACATAGCACAAGGATATGAGTGATATCGTTTATTTGTGTGATATATTGTTTGGCATATGTCAAAGTCTATTAGCTGCCGTCTGTTTTTCGCAATAAAATAGTTGACTTTAAAAAAAAATGATAGATGTTAATGTATGTAGTAGGTTTTGGAAACATTAAATGGTAATGAAGTGGCAAAGTTACATACGCATGGCAGAAATTTAAAAAAAAAAGAAATAAATAAGCAAAAATTTAAAAAAAGATAAAAAATTAAAAATAAAAAGAAAACAAAAAATAGTTAAAAAAAGTAAATGACATATTTAAAATAAAATTATGAGTAGAATGGATAATATTGGAAGCTAGTATAGTAAATTTCTTTATTAAAGAAGGTTTAAAGACGTTTGATGATTCA